GGCAATCGTCCTAGGACCGGGGTATCCGTATGTAAAAAACTGACTGTTTCTGCACTCACAGGGCAGGTATAAGCTGGCTTGTCGTCACGGCTTACGCGAACCGTAATAAGCGTGGATTAGGTTTTCACCAGGATACGCTTGTGGCCCATCAGTATGGAACGGGTAAAACATAGATATTGACCAGACCATTTTGGTTTACGTAGACTAACCTGGTATATCTTCGGCTGCAACCACTTAATTGTGTGAAGCAACATAGTTACGAAGCGGCTAACGTTGTTACAGAATTGAACAGCCCCTGAAAAGAGAGTCTCGCGCGACCGTGAGAGAAATCCTAGCTGTGTTATGAATAGTCGCTCCCATAAACCAGACACAAGTTTTATTCCTTGGTTAGTGCCGTCGGAAAGGAAAAGGTAGTTCCTTCTACCTATAATATTCTTATCGTCCCAATCCATTCCGCTGTATATCTTCAATGTGATTTCCGCATATTGTGAAACGTGGCTTTCACTACCGGTTTTGGTTGTCCACTATCCAGGAATTACCTTACTGTCTACTTCCTTCTCTGTGCACACGGCCTTATCTGTGAAACACTGAGATCGGAATTGTAGTACTGTGTCCCATCTGTGTCCGTCGGTTGACGATATATCGGTTCGGAAGCTAATCATTCTTGCAAACTGAGCAGTCAAGGAATGGCGATGTGCTACTCTATGGTGGGCGATGTCCGATTCCTCACAAACTAGCTTTTCTTACCCACTTTTGTGTTCAAAATGTGCCATCCACTTGATACCAACAACTTTTGGCCATTTACTGGAGTTTGCCAGTACTATGTACAACATAGTGGACATTGGCGATCTAATGATAACATCATGTTCTTCAGTGCCTACTTCCGACTGAAACCCGAGCTAGAACAACATACCGCGCAATGTCACTGTCGGTTGTTTCAACCAACTTAATTTTCGGTCACTCCCTAAGTTAATCTCTTCAGTTAAGCGGTGTTTCACCCTACACAGTGCAATCGATACTGTCTCATTGTAGAGTAGTTTTCATGTCTGGTCGTCTGCGCGTTACAGTAAGCACTATGTACGCGGATGGCCGCCCACTTCTGCGTTGTGTGTCTTGATGCCGCGTAAGTGAGTGGGTGGAAGTTACAGTACTTCCTCAACCGTCCATAGATGTCGCGTGCTAGTCCGCACCCATCCTACAGTGAATTAGCTCACGTGTTGTTTTCGCGTCCACTGTGCATCACGTGGTTTGTTGGCATAGCGCTGCACCAACCGATGCAGACGTTCTGAGTAAACTTGTACTGATTTGCAATTGGTTAAGACGATGGATTCAACTTGATGTGGTTATGAATTGGGTTGAATATTCTTAAGGAGGAGCTTGATTCCGTTAAGGACAGGCTTGATTCCGAACAGGTGTTGAAGACAGTTACATTGGCCTGAGCATTTTGTTGCAGCCCAAGAAAACTCATGCTCTGATGCATAACGTTTTTTTCATTCGTTCGTCTCTCAGCTTTTCAAGGAGGAGTGCATTGTGAGATCATATCCCATATAAAGATTTACTTCCTCGCACTTGTGAGTTCAAATTCCATATGAACTTCTATTCCATTGCACTATCTTCGGAACGGAAGGTTTTATCATCATGTGCTCGTGTAATTATATCCAAGGTCAACATAGCAAAACTACTACAGCCCAATCGAGATTGCCTTGGATACCACATTCTCATAGTGTGTAATTAACTTCCTCTTGACCTACATTCACACATCATACCAATTACGGCCCACATGTTTGTACATCCGAACAAAGCAGTACATACACAGCATAGTACATCGACAACAACAACTCCCGGCCGACTCCAGTGTTACTCCCGTACAATGGACGCCACACGATCGTTCCGACTAGTGCTTCGACAACCGTCACGAAAAGCGCTACTCCCACGACGACAAGACAATCGTCACACGACCGGACTGGCCGTGACCTGCAATTTCCCACGAACAGGATTTGTGCTCTGAGATAAGTCACCACTTTCTCATTACTTTATTTTTGAGTGACACTATTAAATTCTGTTTCGTACATTGTATTCTTAGGGCCGGCCTCTCTTTTTTTATATCTTTACTGTACTGATACACAACGAACACGCCTCAATACTTGTACTTCATTTTTGTTAGTGCATACCTTCTGATATGTTCAATCCGCCAACTAGTCGAGTAGTAACCTACTAAGGCACTAACAGATCTCTTCGGGTGCCCGACCTTCAGGTGATATGTTCCAGATGTACTACTTCTTCTCGTAGTAAATGATACTTTGATGGTTTAAGTTTTAGGCCTACCTAAATGAATCGTTTCAACACATAAGCCAATTCTTTTCAAGTTCTCGTGTTTTATTTCTCCATGAACGATGTCACCACCCAAGTAGAGGTGACAATTCTCTGGTATCAATCCATGCAAGACCTACTGCACCTAGTGTTGAAAAGTTGCATTTACGTTTGCTAGGCCAAAGTGCATGGTTTTAAATTAATAATAGCATGCTGGCCCTAAAAACGCAGATTTTGCCCTGTCACTTTCTGCAAGATTCACTTAGCAGAACGCTGACGCCAGGTCCAACGTACTGAAGTAAGACGGTACTTACAGCGCCTCAAATAAGTCGTCCATTCCTGGGAAAGCAAATGCATCTTTCGAGTAACTTCTTTTAATCGGCTGTAGTGTACACAAAGTCGGAAGGCATCGTTGTTCTTATACACTAGAAAAACCGTTGCTGCTCATGGTGAAGTAGGGGGCCGTATTACCTTCTTTAGTAGCATTTTATCTGTGAGCTTTTAACTCAGTCTGCCAATTTAATGGGATATTTCTTGAGAGACTATTAATCGGGACTGCATCCCGGTGTTGATCTGATATTTTACGAGATTGGTTCTACCTAAGTCGGTAATTCATCATGCGAAAGCGTCTGAGGGGTTTCGTAACATTCTTCGAACCGCTACATTGTCTGCTCATAAGTGACAAGGTCGGGTGAGCGAACAAAGTCGTTTATGTATTTTTCGCTGTCTGAGGCATCATCATAAATTGTAAAATCTTTAAACAATCACGCTCGCAGGGTCTTAACAATACTGTACAATTATCTGGGACCACTTGACATTTGTTTAGATCTAAACGAAATATCAAACGGCGCAGCATGTGCATCCTAACAATAACATTAAAAGGAATTTGGTGCGCAACAATAAAACCCCGGGGTGAAGCTCTGGTACGCAATGTCAACCCGTGCTGTTAAGGACTATCAAACGGGTAGCAGTTCTTCATTAGCTGCAGTTAGGTGGTAGCGACAAGAAGCGCATGTGCGTTCTAGTAGCTGGTTAGTCAGTTTAGATCTGATTAGGAACTTATGTGCACCTGTGTTGATGTGACCTAGTAACCGAATCCCTGCGATCCGTAATTCTTCTTTCAGTGATGATGAAGTATTGACGTGCAAAAGTGGTCGGTAGAAAATCACTCTGTACGTGCTCACACTTAACGGAAAGTGTTCTACCATCCCGAAACGATCTGGGACGTTTTGCGGGTAAAAGGTTGCAGTCGGGGCTCCCGGGGACCGGTGGAAACTATGGTAGTTAAAGTGGCCGTCTGAGTTAGTACTTCGGTCTGTGACCCTGAGGCATGTACAACTATCTTCCATTGTTTGGTCTCCATGTTAACGAATAACGTGAAGGTTTCAATCGCATGTTCGGCTTGTATGTACTTGCAGCGCTCTGTGTCTTTGTGGCTAAGCAGCTGGCCACAGCCGAACTTGTAAAAGTTGTGCCCATCGCCGCGTCCACGTTTCCCTACAGTTTACTCACCTGCAGAGCTTTATCAAGTTTCCCGAGGGGGCATAGCAGCAATTCCGTCTTGTCAGAAGGTGTCCGAACACGCTTAAGGCACTGTTCCAATACCCGCTACTCGCATTACTCAACTGTTTCGTTTACGTAAGCAACACGCACAAGTTAGCGTAATTCCCTGAGTTAGGCATCAACAGTTTCACACGGGTGAGGATAATGCGTATGGAATTGCTGGCGAAGCTCCGTCAGAATGCTTTGACGACTCAATAGTGTACGAAGAGCTGCAAACGTGTCGGCATTACTTTTGCTCTCTGGAATATTAATATCCATGACAATGTCGAACCCTTTGCCAGATAACAATCCTATAATTCCACTTCGGATAATGACGGATGTGCAATTGCACGTTTTTCCCAGCGATCATACAGCATTCCAGTAACAAAAGTTTCCGGTGTAGGTATAGGTTCTACGTTGGCCGCAGGTATGCACATGGTTGCAAATATTTCCAAACCTTGGAACAGCGAATCCCAAGTGAAGGAATATTTGACAATAGGGTCAGTGGCCTCGGAATTATCCATACCACCGGTTTGTTTCACTGGATTCTGCATGGTATGGTTCTGTTCCCAGGCGGGGTCGCCAATTTGGTCTCAATGCGGGAATAAAACCAAATATCAGGCAGGATCTGGTATTAAAGAGCGCATAGTCTCTATAGAGACAAACATAAGTAAAAGCAAAATGAAATGCACGTTACGGTTAACAATCTTCTCCGTCTTCTTGTTCTTCTTATGTAGCAGCACAGCTCCAAAACGGAAGCGGGGACTGTGGTTATGACAATTCAAATAAGAAATCTATTAGCTATTACAGTTTTAATAATTTGCTCTCTAGTCCGACTTTTGCGCCTGAGGACTGATCCGAGGAGATCGCCCAGGTAGATGGACGCTCAATGCCCTTAAAAAGAAAACGGTAACTCGAGTTTGTGAAATTGCCTTTTAAAGTGTTCGGCCCAACAGTTCCAGCGTTTTGACAGGCTACGGATCAGTTGTCCATTATTGTCGCGTATTGTCTCGCTAACACCAGGTCTGCTGTTGCCTGCTTCCTGTAGCAGCTGGAATAACTTAAGATGCCTACCAACGGGAGTGGCAGTTTCCATTTTCGGTGCGTGATGAGACCACCAGGCTTCGCGATCTGTCTTCAGCCCAGCAAGCATTTTGCGCTGAGAATTGTACTTACCTCATTGTATTCGCTTACAGGCGGAGTACGTCGGTGAGCATCCATAAGTTTTTAGAGACTATGTGGCGATCCAATGTCTAGGTTGGCATTTTGTGTTGCCACATGAAGACATGCTTTTTGATAGTAACGTTTGGCGAATATGCAACCAGTGATTTTCGACGGTGTTCAGTGGACGCTTACTCAGCACGGATAACAGCGTAATTTGATACGCACTCAGAACACATGGCTTCGACAGTAGGTTGGTGTCAGTGCACTCAGAATAACGTTGCGGACGTCCGCCAAAATGTACCCGATGGTCGGCACACATAACAGCGCGATGAGAGTCTACACTGGTGCTCCAAGGCAGGCGACAGCTTTGGACACAGCCTCCCCAGCGTTAACTAGTCGCGATTTGATCGATTTTCGCCCATGCATGGCCCGAGGCTAGTGGACACTAAGGCACTCTTTTGCGAGTGCTATGTCGTAAGTTTGTGCTCGCAAGAAAGAGACCAGCTTCTTCACACAGGTGGAGCAACCGGTCACCGTTATCATTACGGGTGCCTACACCATGTTGGCCGCCCAGCCGAAGCTCAACAGTGGGCAATTTGTCGACTCGGGTGTTTAGATCACCAGCCAACACCACAGTAGTCGTGTTTCTGCTTTAACGATGAAGATCGTTAAGGTGCTGGTAGCAATCATCTTTCACCGAATCAGGGCTGCAGTTTGTGGGGCCGTAAGCCGCAATGACAAAGTAACAACATTTATTTACGCGCGAATTCGAAGCCAGGAACGAGCTAGCTAATCTACCGGTGTATATCCGGCCGTTGACTGTAATCCAATCTATCAGAGCAGCTTCAGCTCGGGAGTAAACTCATTGCCCAGGCCAGCTTGACCGGTATTTGAAGCTGCCTCATCGTCAGATGGGCGCATGTGGGGGATCGCAGGGTATGCATGGAGCTCGACTATTACAAGCGCTTTGTTGATAGGCTGCAAAAATTTATCGCAAGGTTATCCGATGTTCCGGCAAGTGTTGCCGGTTGGCCAATCTGTGGGAAACTGCGCCTGTTGGGGCATGCTAGTCCTGGAAAGGATCGAGGACTCGAAATAGAAAGGGATGTGCTGACCTTATCCGCTTGATTGATCACGGACATGTCGACTGGACTAAAGCGGCGTCCGCCGAATTTATGTGAGCTGAAACTAGAAGAAACACGACTACTGCAACAAGGTGAGGGGCCACTAATTTGGGCTTTAAAACGGAGGTGATAAAATTGAAGTTGGAGCGGACTCTAAGGATGATAAAGCGTAAGAGGTGGAATAAGAGGACGGTAAGGTCTGAGCAGTAGCATCCAAACCCATATACAATAAAAACGATGAGCAGATAGAGCGCGGTTTATTGTCCCCTTTGACAGCCAGGGCACCGAGCGATTGTTATGAGAAAATGTCATGGTGCATTGCGTGGGCAGAATACTGTCAGGTCATCCAGGTCTAGACAGGAGAACGATTAGGGTTCTCAAGCAAGGCAGCGGAGTTTTGGCACTGAACCACCGACAGCCGGTTTTATGGAATCAGGAGCCTCTCTCACTCCAATCTACAAATTGGAGGGCCAGGAGACTGAGTTTTTCTGGCCTCGAACCACTGAACACTCTTGTATGAATGGCTCTGAAGGTGTAGGAAGTATCATCCAACGTGGATCAATGGACCATTTAGGCAGACAAACTATCGCACCGCGTAAAGTTCCAATCTCATCGAGATGAAGCAGAGATACTCACCACTATAGTTGACAGTCGGGGTACTTGAGTTAGACTAGTACACAAAAATACTCCTAACTAAACAATTCATCCAGAGCCTACCCAAACCCTTCCAGTACAATTAAATCTGGCCTCAATAGTGAAAGTGACCAATATAGCAAAGCTCCTGATGGTGGCTCGGCGTCTTTTGGAGCCTGCCTTAACGCAGACAGAACCAGCCAACTGTGTGCCGTAACTATCCTGCTTGATTGCTCAAGCTGTGCAATAAGGGACAAGTTAAAGATGTATGTGCATTTGTTCACCGACACAAATGATGAATACGGGTTCTAGCACTGGACGGAACGCCGGATACCGCTAGCCCTAGGGGGCAATGCAAACCAATATTCCAGAGAATACTCCTAAAATTCCTACCTGAGGTACAGAAACAAGTTACAGACGTGGAGGCGAAAGGAATTATCAGGCGTGCGAAAAGCCCGTATTTCTCACCAGTGTTTCTGATGAAAAAGACGGACGGTACCTATCGGTTATGTATTGATTTCAAGGAACTGAAAAATTGACGTTGCAAGATGCGTTCCCCATGTCGCAGATGAAGGAAAATTTTCCCAGTCTTCATATTGAGAAGAGAAGCTCGTTGATTGACCTCAGCTCAGGATATTGGCAGCTGCCCCTAGAGGAATAGGATCGTTAAATAATGCATTCAGTGTGAACTGTCAGCAATACAAATTTTTGTGGATGAAATTTGAACTGTGCTACGCTACCTCAACGTTCAAACGACTGCTACTAATGATACTGGAACAAATTCAAGGTGTGGTGGTCTACGTAGACGACATCGTTATATTCTCCGAGACAGAAGACAAGCATAGTAGCAGACTCGCGACCGTACTAAAATGATTAGAGGCTGCCATTTTGAAGCTTAGCCAAAAAATCACAAACTGCCCAAACGTCGATTGTGTGCTTGGGTCACGTTGTGCAGGACGGTAAAATACGGCCACTGCCAGAGAAAATGAAACGATCCGGAATTTTATGACCTGGAATTCCAAACGTCTGCTTCGTTCCTTTCTTCAAATAGTTGGATACGATTCTAAATTCGTGTCTCACGTTTTGTGGAAAGCCTGGATCCATTATTGAATCTGCTGCACAAAGGTCAGCCGTTCGTGTGGACAACCGAAGCAGAGGACGCTTTCAATCACATAAAGACATGCGTGACAGAATCTCCATAGTGTTTACGGATATCCAGTGCAGAGGAGAAGTTTACGATGGCAGTCGCAATCGGTGCAGTGCTGTCCCAACCATCGGGTGTAGTGGCATATGCCAATTGAGTGCTGCGGAGTGCTGAGCAGAACTACTCCACGACGGAGAAGGAATGCCTTGCTTTTGCTTGGGCATTGGATGAGTGGACAACCAGCGCCTTGGCGAATGTACTCCGTGCTATGATGGACCACAAACAGCTGTCATGGTTGATAACAACGAAAGATCCGCGAGGAGGTCTTGTGTGTTGTGCATATTGAAGCCAATAATTTGCCTTCATCATCGGGCATGTAGTCGGAAAGTAGAACGTACTACCTGACATGCTGTCGCGGCCGTCGATGCACATCATACAAGACACTGCGATACCGGTGTGTGCGATCACAGTAGAGGAAAGAACCATCGTGGAAATACAAAGGAAGGAGGAGCTAGTGAAATCGTTTTGCAGTCATTTACAAATGGGCACCACGTGGGATACATCGGATGAAGCAAGGAAACTCGTTAAAATCTGGGAGCGGCTGTACACATTAAATGGCAATTTACTGATGAAGACAAACGGAAAGAATCTGCTCTACATGTCATCAGATCAAATGGTTAATGCTAATGAACACATGGGATGTGAGAGTTGTTAACTTGTTACAGAGCCTAGTATTTTGGCTATACATGAGGAGGGACGTAGCGGCATATATTCGGAGGCGCCCAAACATTCAAATTGGCCGAGAGCAGGATGCGACAAGACAGCTAATGCAATCTATTAAAGTTAACAAAGCTGTACAGTGCTGGGGACTGAATGTGTTTGAACGGTGGCCACTGAACCGATCAGTTTACACACATCCTTGTGCTGATTGATCATTTCACCCGATGGGTCGAAGGCATGCCTAATAAAGGCCACACAGACAAGACCGTGACATAGACCTTCGAATGCAAGGTACCGTCGCAGTATGGAATTCTGCATTGTGCTGTCACCGCCCAAAGTCTGTGCTTTGAGTCAAAAGTGTTCTAGGGAATAATAGCGAAATGGGGTATCCAGAAAAGGCGCACTTCACTGTATCACCAGCAACTTAATGGGATGACCGAATCGTTTAACCGGACTATGAAGACACTGATAAACCGCACAAGTTGGCATGGGGGAACGGCCAGAAGTACTACTCGCATATCGAACCGGCATGTAGTCAAGCATCTTGATCTCGCCCATCGAATTGCAGTTTGGGAGAAAGCCGAGAATTGCACTCGATACGTGGTTGGCAATGGATCGCGGCTGCAAACATCCAAAAGTACGGCACAGTACTACAAATAATCGCGAGAAGAGGAACAAAAGCACGATAATTGCGGAATAAACGGAACTATGACGCATGGTGTTCGACACACAAATGGATACCATTCAACCTATGAGACCATGTAAGAAT